AAAAAAAAAAAAAAAAATCTAGCCCAGTCTACTTTTAGTTTTTGGATCCGTCCCTGTTTATACATGTGACAACACTAAAAAAATGGTCATCCCCTCTGCCCTCTTCTTTACAATATCTTCAAGACACGCTGAATTATGAGAACTTGATTATGCTCCAAGCTCGGATACTAGCAACTCAACTGTGAATACAATAATTGTAATTCCATTACAAGCGCAGAGGGACTGCAGCCCCAGCTCCATTGCATATTTGACCAACACAAAGTAGTCTCCAAAACACACAGGCCGTCGACAAAAATATTATCAAACACAATAAAACCATTGTTCCTATACCAATATATTCGAATTATTACTTACAATTACCATTCTGCCCAAGTTGTTATCATTTCCGACTTCAGACTTCCCCAAAAATGAGCTTTTGTGGGATCGACATATACCAATATAGTACCAATGATGTTGATAAAGTCATAAACAGAGTCCTTTAAACCTGATGACGCCATCATTCCCGAAGCTTTCGAGCATAGTCTAGTTATCATGTCACCGATGCATTGGCTTGGTCGATAACCGCCGCATAAAAGTTCTAGAAGTTTGCCAAGAACATTGACCAAAAGACTGCTTTTATCCTTGACATCCTGCTGAATCGAATTCAAGATTGGCTATAAAAGAGAGAAATAAACATCATCTACCATGGAGTCATAACAGATGCATGGTATGCACAACATCTCTAGATACTTCCAAGCGAACTCATTCTCCGGGTCCCGAGAGATGGCTCTTGTCGCATATTTTACCTCTGCCTCCCGCAACTTGTCAGAAAGATTTTCAGCGTACTCCAAAACAAGAAAAGCTCTCTACAGACAAAAGCACTACAAGAAGAATTAGGGTAAAAAAAAATGACAGTAGTAAAGTTTCTACTTAGTGAAGCCCTTAATGGCCATAAGTACCTGATGCCAAGCCAAGGCACAACAAACGTCATTTCGAAGGATCACGTTACAAAATTCAAGCTCATCATCTGATCCTCCAAATTCCTTAATCAGCCACTGAATAGAGAAATTCTTAAAAAGGAAATCTTGGACAGAATAAAAATAAAATGTCCAAAAAAGTTATTCTTGCCCAACGAAAATGGCAAATTCGGGCATACCTTTCTATGAAACCAGGCGCATCTGTTATTTACATCCTGCTCAACAATGTGACTTGTCAACTTCAGTTCATCTTCTTTATCCATAGTCCCGAGTATTTTAAAAACCCATCGCCTATGGAACCAGGCGTAGCAGTTGTTGATGTCGCGCAGCAAAACTTCACGAGAAAATTGAAGCTCCGAATTAGCAAGATAGCTTCTGAGCTCCTCGGGGAAGGACTCAGCAATGAACTGTCTGTATGACCAAAAATATTCACAAGTCCTGTAATAATGAGCATAAAATTTATTCAAGTCCTCAATTTCCTTGTTCTTTTCATTAAGATCAAGCATACCACAAATATACATTCTGTGGTTCCATGCATCCCGATTATTCACATTGCTAAGTAAAATGCCATCCGTGAACTTGAGAGCTTCAAACTTATTCGTATGCTGACTCTCAACAAGCAATTCACTGTAAGCCCATGCACCACTGGCCATCGGATGCTTAGTTAGGAATTTATCTACAAACTCAAATTCGCCACCCAGGTCGCGAAGGCTAAACTGTTGGACAATATCAACGCCCCATACAGCACGGCCCATCGGACGATGAGTTAGGAATTCGTCTACACAGTTAAATTCGCCACCCAAATCGTGAAGTCTGAACTGCCGGACAATACGTACGAAGATGTACCACAAACGAGAATCATCAGGGTTGGTTAACAAAAAATTCTTTATAGAGTCAAACTCCTGCTTTGTAGCTTCAGGCCCAATTGTCTTAGCAAGCCAAAATCTATGGAACCTGGCATAAATGAAGCAACAAATAACAAACCCCCAACAACACTTTACAGTTTACAGAGAGTGATATAATCACGGCGGCACCAATAAAAAGCTAAGAAAAATTTACACGACGATCATAAAAAATTTGCAGTACAGATTCCCAACGCACTTCCAAAACGACATTTATTTAGTTAATTGTTGATAAAACCAAAATGACATTTATAAAAAAATAGAAGGTAGTATGGTTTTTTTTTTTAATTAATGCATGAATCCCATCGGTTACGGGACTCTTGGCATGATACGTCTTTTATATTGTTGGATTTACGATATATGGTACATGTCTAAATAATTATGTTAAGTTAGGTATATTTACGCACCCGGCACCCATGTAAATTGGCCTAAAAAATAAATAGGGAGTACACCATTAATAGACGAGAATTAATAACAGCCCATGAATCAAATGATCACTATTAATATAAAAGGAAAACTCGATTAGTTGGAATCTATCATCATTCTACAGTCTACACTTTGGAAAACATGCGAGCAAACATAGTGAACTTTCTCAAATCCTGCTAAAAAGGTCAGCATGCACAAAAAGGCCAAATATATTCACAGTTACAAGGAGTAGCTAAAAACAGATGCCCAGACCAGTATGAATGGAATACTTTCTCTTGCTTTCTTTATCCCAATGGGTCCCACTTTAGGCAATCCCCGGGAACCAAGGCAGTCCCGGTTGAAGACACTGTTTCGAATCTGGAATTGGTGTAATCGGGCCAAGAAAAACACGCCACAAATCAAGGATTATAGTTACTAGCATTGCAGCACCTAAAGCATCAATGGCAACCCTTGGCAGGTCCCACCGATCACCAGGTTTCTCGTCAATCATGACCGTCAAATATAAAACCTCGTTACCCAAAAAAAAAAAGGACAGAAAAATACAGGAGTAATAGCTGATGAATCCCAATCAATGAAACAAAAGAATTAGCAATGGAAATTGACGAGCACATGCTCACATACATGGTGAAAGAACTTACCTAAAGAACATAGGGAAGCTAACGACAAAGTAGATGGCATAGAACAAGGTGCCATATTTGTACATGGAGGGAGGCTCGGTCCACAAATTCATAATAAGGAAACTGCACACAGAAAACGGGCAGAAGAAGATCATGTAGGAGGAATGCCATAACACATAGACGTATATTCATAAACTCCATTTTCCCTTTTGTTTCTGTAGTCAAATTGGAAATAGCTAAAGTCTCTAGATATGCTATGAAGTATGAAAGAGTTAAAACCCAGTTGGCTTTGAAACCCCACTGCAGGTTCTCCGGCCAGTGGGCCACATAATGCTGGATCCTTCGAAAAGTCATATTTGATGTGACATGGTAAAACAAGAAGTACATGTGGGTGAGAAGGAAAGTCGTGTGTGGTACCTGCACATTGATAATTGCTTTTAAATAATTATCAACTAAAAAAATAAATTTCGGCAAGAAAAATTTTACAAGGTGGTGGACTCACGTTATTCATTTTCCATGATGGGAAAGTGTACGAGGCGCCCAAGACAGAGAAAATATAATGGGTCCAGAAGTAATTCCCCACGTAACTGAAAAGCATGATCCACAGATTAGCCTGGCAGAACAACAATTTCCCAGTTACAGACAATCGTGAATTGTGTGTGAGGATAAAATTTTCGGCTGTAGGTTATTAATTAGAAAAACCAAACAACGACGGGCAGAGTTTGAATTAAATCATATGCATCAATTTTTGCATGCAAATTGTTTCTCCATTTAGCTTGGGTATAAAGTGTACTTGTTTATCTCTGTTTATACTTTATACATCACGCACAATATTAAATTAAAGCGGGACACAACGTAAAGAGAGGGAAGAGAAAAGAAAAAAGAGCAAAAGCAATAATACAACAAAGGAAACAGATACTCACTTTTACCCAATAACGATCCTTCCAACATTTGCTGCTATCCGCCTAGAAAATTTAGGAGAAAAAATAATTATTACAACATTAGCAGCACGAAAGAAAAGGCTGTAATAACTTTCCATGTGTTCACCGACAAGCCCCTTAAAACATATTTTGAGCATTCTGTGCCATTAAAACATGAATTCAATCAAACCTTGAGAAAATACACAAACAGGATAGTGTATCAAACAACATAGCGAATGCGTAAACAAGTTTCTGAACACAAACATCAATGTGTTTGTTAAATGACAATGTATACATCAAACATTTGCACTTGGATGCATGGACGTTGAGATCAAGTGATACCAATATGATAAACCGATTAGACGAGAGAGAGAGAGAGAGAGAGAGAGAGAGAGAGAGAGAGAGAGAGAAGCAATCACTTCAAAATCTAGAGAAGTTTCTTCAAAATCTAGAGAAGTTCAATTTCAGATTCAAATATACAGCCTGGAATGTAACAACTAAAAGAGGAAACCATGCCAACCCCAAATAGAAAAAACACCAAGGCTTCTCAATATTGCAAAGCCCTTCGGGATAAGCGAAACCGAGTACAACAATAGTTAAAGGTATTCGCAAAAAAATTTACTTAAAAAAAAAAAAAAAAAACTCACCTCTGAAATCAACTAGAAACTCAGCCTCCAATACATATTACACAAATTGATCTGATGTGATATGCTTTTGAGAAGAATGTCCTTGCTCATCTATTTCTTTTGAAAATTTACAAGCTCATTTTCTTCAATAATCAATCACAGCCAGTCGTAACTTAAACGAAAAAGAATATCACATCCAATCAATCCAATACACTTTCACTTCATAAAATGCTATTCACCCTCTCTTTCTTTATGAACCATCAATACCAACTAATCGCCAAAACACTAACTACACCATCACATAACCTGTTGTCATCACAAATTTTTCTAACATACCATCATATTTTTGTTCATACTGTCATTTTTCTAAAACAGAAACGAGCAGGCCAAGAAATAGTGCCACGCAATAATTTGTTCCTATATTTTGTGGCCCCAACACGAAGTCCCATTGCAGTTTCGAAGAATTTACTCAACTAAAACCAAACCAAATGAAATCCTTGCTAACAAAGGAACAAAAACACCATTATAGAAAATCATGGAGAAAAGGTAAAATCCATCCATAAGAGAATAAAGTACCTCATAAAGTCTGTAAGGAACAACAATTCCGAGACAAAGAGTGAGCCAAAAGGGAGTGTAGAGAAGGAAAAATATTTCACCCCATCTTTTGCTGGGGTCTTGAGCAAGCCATAGATTTGAACTCGTGCAGCCCGCTTCACCACCTGAAAAAAATTTAACTCCAATAAAGAAGAGTTCACAAAAGGCGAAAAGAAAACCTTGAAAATCTGACAAAGAAAACAAAACAAAAGACGGTTTTAGAGTGGAGCTTTACCTCCCATTTGTATCTGATGATAGAATGTAGGAAACAGCAAGACTCTTGTTTTGTGTTTTGTAGACTGGCGCTGCTGAATAAGAGATGGAGCTCTGCCCTCTGAATTGTTCTTTCAACTTGGACGGGAAATGGAAAAGGGCAAGAACCATTAGATAGTTTTAAAACCCATACCCGTGAATTGACCCGGCTCCACCGGCTCCATTTCAATTTTGGATAAAAAAATTTCATGCTTGAGTTATATAATTAAAACAAATATAAACTAAAGTTTTACATTGATAGTTTTAGATCTCTTGAATCATTGATATATATATAGATGTGTGTGTTTTTTTCTTTCTTAGCAGTTGGATTATTTAACGAGTTGTTAAAATACTAAAACTAGAAAACATCACGTAAACCATAAATTCTGTATATTAAAATAGCTCCCTGAGTCTACAGACAAACACCAGCTAACATCTTTCAATCGTCCAAGAAAAACACATCCTCCAAAACCTCCATCTGCCTTGACAGCCGGACCAAACACTCATGCACCCGCCTTGTCTCGGGATGCGACCTGTCCCTGACCACAAACTCGTGCACATTTCCTTCGACCTCGATCGAGCTGCACCCGGGCGTCTTATCCACCCCTCTCTCCCTCATAAGCCTCCGCACCTCCTCAGCCTCCTCCCACATGCCCCTCTCCACGTACATGCCCGCCAGCAAAACATATATGCCACTATCACCCGCATCCAGCTCCAGCAACTTTTTAGCCGCCTTTTCTCCCAACTCCATATTTCTGTGCATTCGGCACGCGAAAAACAGAGCCCCCCATATCACGCCATCTCCCTCCATAGGCATGCTCTCGATGACCTCCACAGCTTCATTCAACAAGCCCGCACGACCAAACAGGTCCACCATGCAAGAATAGTGTTTCATTTCTTTGTATTTAGAGCTCATTTGGGAAAACACCTTCCGACCCTCTTCGACCAGGCCTCCATGGCAGCACGCCGATAAAACACCCAAGTAAGTCACCTCGTCCGCCATTAATCCCGAATTTATCATCTCAGTAAAGTAAGAGAGGGCCCGTTTTGATTCCCCGTGTAGGGCCAGCCCGCAGATTATGGCGGTGTAAGTCAGAGCATTTCTGCCGGGAATCTCGTGGAAAGCCTCAAGTGCCCGCCTGATGCTTCCGCACTTGGCGTACATATCAACCAGGGCCGTCCCTAGAACGACGTTCATGGAGAGATTGTTTTTCTGTATGTAGCCATGGATCCAAATCCCGAGGTCAAGGGCACCGAGCTGGGCGCATGCGGACAGGCAGCTGACCATTGTGACCTCATCGGGCTCTATGCGGGCCGCTTGCATCTCGTGGAACAGGGACAGGGCCTCCTTGGCACGGTGGGCCCGGGCGTAGGCTCCAATCATTGCGTTCCACGGGACCACGTCTTTCTCAGGCATCTTGTCGAAAAATCTACGGGCAATGTCTAAGTGCCCGGATTTGGCATATCCCGTTACCATTGTGGTCCAGGTCACCATAGTCTTCTCCTCCTCCATTTTCTCGAACAAACCCTTTGCTTCTTCAAGATCTCCGCACTTCACGTACATATCGAGAAGGGAATTCGCAAGCGGGACCGTCATTTTCAGCCCTTTATGTTTTATGTACCTGTGAAATTCTCGGCCGAGCTGGGATTCCTCCAACTGTGCACACGCCGTGACAACTCCAATCAGGGTGACCTCATCCGGCTCGATTTTTCCCTCCATCTCCATTTTTTTATAAATCCTCAGAGCTTCTTTCCCTTTCCCGCACCTCACGTAGCCATTAATCAGAGAGTTCCAGGAAACCAGGTCCCTCACGGGACTTTCATCAAACACTTTACCCGCAGCATCTAACTCACCACATGTAACAAGAAAATGAATTAGGGAATTACGCACGAATAAATCGCGTTTGAAGCCCAGTCTGAGTACATGGACAAGAACCTGACGCCCCACATCGAAAAGCAACAGCCTGGCGCAGGTCTTGAAGAGTAAAGGGTAAGTATAGTTATCAGGCCTAGATCTGAAACTACCAACACCCAACATCTGTTTGTAGAGTAGAAAAGCTTCGGCCGGATTATGGCCGTCGCAGGCGGCTCTAATGACGATGTTCCACGAAAACGCGTTATGGTTGTTGGTAGAAATCAACATTCGTTTGGAGTAATCGAGATCGCCGGTGGGGGAGAGGGCACAGAAAGCGACGAGGCGGCTGTAGGCGAGCGGGTCGGAGGAGAGTCCGGAGACGGTCATGCGGGCGTGGATCTGCATGAGGTGGGGCATGGATCGGCATTTGGTCTCGAGGAGGAGGAGAATGGGGTTGGAGAGGACGAAGGTGTGGGTGGTGTTCCAGTTGGTGGGCGTGGGGTTGAGATTATGCTTGGGTTTGTTTCTGGGGCGGAGGAGGGAGAGCGTGTGGAGGCGGAGCTTAGGATCGGAGATAGGGCTGAGAGTGTGGCGCTGTTGGGTCCCGAAGAGAATGAACAGAGATAGCATCACCAGATATTTGTGGCGGGAAGGAAACAAAAAAACTAAGAAAGAATGGGTCAGAGTTTTAGTAGTAACGGTTACACTCGCTAGTATTGTCATTTTATTTTTATTATTCAATTCATTGTGAATTTTTTACATTAATATTTTTTTTTTTTCGAAATGATAGTTGAAACCTTCATTAACAACTAGAAAAAAGTCTTACAACCGATAGATCAACTGGCTCATACAATTAAACACTGGGAGAACCACTTTAAACAAGTGGCTTAGACACCGAAAACAAAATAGAACAACTCGACAAATACTACTATTTGACTCATTTAGTCAACAAACTAACAACACCACACCACACAAGCAACCAGAAAGCCAAACACACAAAGTTGCAAAGGGAATCAAAGAACCTAGACTCAATTCACCTCTGCTAAAATCTGCACTACACTGAATAAAACTCAGTCCACTCTCTGAAAGCAAACTGAACATTATAATTTCTCTATCACTCAACCACATGTTCTGGAAGACCCACAGATTACGGGCTTCCCAAAGTCACCACGAAACATAAGTGGATAGCTGGATTTGAGCTTCAGATATATCTCAGTTGTCAAGGCTAGAAATCTTCCACCACCAACCTTAAAGGTAATAGCACTCAGATTATGATCCCAAGTCAGAGATAATGGAAAATGTAGGCGATAATAGTTACCTGACCATCAAATATTAATTTTACTAACATATTATTTTAATTTTCAATAATATCAATACAAGTAATAAATTTTTTTCAATTTGCTTATATGTCAAATATTTGACGAAAAAAATTATCGCCCAAAACTATATCAATTATAGCAATATGAATTGGTCCATTATAGAAATATCGATATAGATATTGATGACAAAATTCAAATTATGAACATCAATCTGTCGTGTGAATATAGTGTATAGTTGTAGAAAATATTCAGTTGCTAATAGAAGTTATATATTTGATAATCAATTGATGCCGATACAAATAAAAGCAATTAAAAACCATTAGTTTTGAAGGTCTTTGTTATAAAAAGAGGTAACTAATTTAGGGAAATGCTACAGTCTCGTTATGAAATCATTCTGTCGGGATTTGTAATCGTTAGATCATCATGTAACCGTCTTGAATAGTTGATCTATTACAAACCCCGACGGAATGGTTCCGTAACGAGACAGTAACAAAACCAACTAATTTATATGTAAATAAAATCCATAACTCATATCCATTAATTGCTTTTAAATATTGAAAATGTACACCAGCAAACTGACTAATAACTAGTACACTACAAAAGATGAAAACAGATGAAAAAAACACAAGAAGGCAGCCTTATTTCCATCAAACCACACACACAAGACTCTTTAACATGCAAATTTCCTCAATCAAATAGCTAGCTTAGCACTTCAAAGTCGTGGACCTTCGCATTATCATCCAACCACATGAAAGTATACATTTACAGAAGGTAGTGATGAATGAATCTAATTAATTGTCATCATCAAAATCGAAATGGAAACTAAACCCATATTCAGCATCTTCAACACTAATTGCGTTAGCCGATGAAAAGAGATTTTTGGCGTAGTCGTCGACAAATGAATGCAGCAAGAGGGAGTCGGCAGTGGGCCTTTGATCGGGATCACTCGTGAAGCAACGCTGGAGAAAATCCCTCGCATCCTCTGAAATCATCTTGCGGCCGATAATCCTCGAAAGTATTTCCTCCTTGGTCCCTTCCCACGCATTCTCCAGGCCCACCAACATCTCGAGCACGACACAACCAAGGGCCCACACATCAGAAGGCTCCTCCTGCCTCCCGAACAACTCGGCCTCGGGCGACAAATACTCGCGCGTACCTCTCGCATACGGTACCGTCCCCCTCTCTTTCGAAAGCCCAAAATCACTTATTTTGGCCGTGAAGTCGTCGTTTTCGGCCACGAGCAACACGTTTTCAAGCTTCAAGTCAGAGTGCACGTATCCGAGGCCGTGAATGTGACGGAGACCGCTAAGGATAGACCTCGTGTGCCTGCTCACCTCCATTTCGGGCAATCGGCCTCCCGATTTCTTGATCCTGTCGAGGAGAGACCCGCCGGATGCATACTCCAATAGCAGATTAGAAACCGAGCGGCCCTCGTAATCTTGTGTCGTGTGGTAGCCGAGGCATCGGATCACGTGAGGGCAGTCGTAGAGACGAACCAAAATCTCAAACTCTTTGGCGAGTGTTTGTGAAAGAGATGTTTTCACGGCCATGAGGGACGATGATGAGTTAATGAGACTAGTGGCCTTGTAAACACGGCCGTAGCTCCCTGATCCTAACAGAGGGCCCCTAATCCAATCAACCCCTTCTCCTCCGTATTCGCCGCCGCTGCCGCCGCCGCCGCACATCAACTGGCTGTGGTTGTTCATGAGATCATTGTAGGCACGAGCACAAACCGCCGCCATGATAGACGATAGATAGATAGATGATCACCTAAGCTAGCTAGCTCACCCGCGCGCGTATATATTTCTATTCCTATTTCAAGAGAGTTTGTTTAATGTATCTGTATGATTTAATTAATCATTCCCTTCTTCAAAACAATTAATGATTTATATTTATAGTAAAAATGTATGTCTTCTAATTAATTTCCTCTATTAATCCTATTCCTAACGATCGAGGAGAGAGTTTTCTTCTATTATTTTCCTAACCCCTCAAGGTTTATTAGTCCAATAATTAACGGATTATATTTATAATAGTGTTATACATAAATAAGATATTTATTTCTTGTTGTGTACGTAATCAAAATAAATATAATATAACTACCTACTTATATTATTTAATAAATAATTTATTATCATAGTAGAATTTGTAATTGTTTCACACATATATATGTGACACAATTACTCTTTTTTAGTGTATAAATAATGACAATCTTTTTTATAAATGCCAATACTATTTTATAACATTCTTAAATTTATTGTTATATCCCCCTCTATATCATTCACGAATGTGCTGAGCCTACGTGGCTTCTTCTGGTGCTTCGGAATCCTACTTGGCGAAGAATCATGCTTCGTAATTAAGTTTGGACAAATAATATTGAGATATTAATAATTAATAATCTAGCTTCAGACATTTCATAAATATTATTTAGCTAATTTAAGTATTTTAATATCACTTATACTAATATAATCCTTTAATTCTTTATAATTTTACATAGTGAGGCACTAAGTGACTAATATATCCCTGACTTTTGATTTGCTTCCTTCAATTAACTATTGAACTATAAATGTATTTTAAAAGTTGAACTTTTGTATTTTTTATCAGTTATATATATAATATATCAAATTAATCATCTTTTGATGATCTTCGATTTGACATCCATGTTGTATATATGAAACAAATAAATTATATTTATCTTTATAATAATAAAAAATAATAATATTTATTAAAATTTATTAAAAAAACAAAATTATTTCTCAATTAATATATTTATGTTTAATGTAGTTATATGTTGTAAGTTAAAAAATTATTATAATATAAAACAGGTAAGTCGGACAAATAAAAAGTGTCATACTAAATATATAATATAATATATATTTTTATAAAAGGTATTAAAATTTTCAACTACTTTTTCTCATTGATTTTAGATTTTAAGAAATAAATTAGCAAGCACCAGTGTTTGATATTAGATTTTAAGAAAAAAATTAGCAAGCACCCGTGTAATACACGGGCGTTGTACTAGTTAATGTACTTTAACTAAAATGAAAACTTTTAATAAATGCCAGACGAGTTTCTGTGCTCTGGGCCTTTTTTACCGGTGTCGATTGTGGGTGGTTGGGGTGTGGGTCCCCGAGCTAGGGTTGGGGTGGCCGTCTGAATTGGGTTGAGGCCGTTGGTGTCAGGCTTAGTTAGGCGTTCTCTCGCAGTTTCTGGATCGGACTATGGGGTTGTGGCCTGCTCCGTTAGATTGAGGTCCATTCATGTTGTTGTTGCGTAGCTTGGAGTCTTTTGTCTGTGCAGGGAGGCTTATTTAGTTGTGTTTAGTAGTGTTTTTTCGTTTTTGTTGTGTTTTTGCTAGTTCACTAGCTTTCGTTTTCTTTGTGTTTGCTTTTCTTATCTCCCGTTGGGAGTGTGTTAGTTGTGTTCTACTGTTACGAGCTTTTGGTAATTTATATGAAATATAAATATAACTATTAAATAGTGTTTTCCTAAACGGTATTAAACGTCGCGTTTAGACGGTAAACGACAGGGTAACGTGGAGTTTAGGGCCTGGGCGGGCAGCTGAACGGGTTTTCCGTCTAGACAGTCAAAGACGGGAAGAAATGTTGAAGACGGCCTAAACGGAACGGCGGCGAAACGATTCTGGGCGCCGAAACGGCCGTTTCTCGTCGCGTTTAGGTGATGGTAGCGGGAAAGTTTATTTTTTTTTTCGGTACATGTAGCGGGTTATTGAGAGAAATTTGGGGCGAGTATAAGTACCGGAGGCTAGGGCTAAGAGGAGATTTTTCCCGTTCCGCTTAGCTCGTACACACGCCGCCGCCAGCTCTCACGCACGCGGCGTCAACCACCGGCGACCAGGCTGAGCTCGAGCTGCGCACGCCTCCCGGCTTCGTCCTGCGTGCCACCTCCGACTGGTCCCAACCTCCCAGGTACTGCTCTCATGCTCTTTTCCACTTCTAATCCACTCTTATTGCTCTCATGCTCTGATTTAAAGGTCGATGACATGCCATTTGCAGGATGTCACCTACTGCATCTCGTCCATCCGTGGACCAGCCAGAGACAGATCGTGCCCTTGCCCTTAAGAGAAATTCTGATGATGTGGGGTGGGAGTATGGAGTTTTGATTGATCCAAATGATCTGAATGTAATCAAGTGCAAGCTGTGCCCAAAGGTTGTGAAGGCAGGAATCTATAGGCTCAAATTGCATATTGCCGGCAAGAAAGGAGAAGTTCGTGCATGCCCCAATGCCACCGAAGAGGACAAAGCAAAGTGCAGTAAAGCTATTGATGAGTCTAGGAGAGCTAAAAGGGCTAGAAGGGAGAAAGAACAAGAGGTTAGACATGATGTTACGATTGATATTGAGTCAGATGTAGAACCGGAAGAAAATACTGGGCTTGATGAGATTACAGGCTCAGGATCACGTGTGATGGGTCCTATGGAAAACTTCACAAAGCCTATGGACTCTAATTCGTTGGCCAAGGAGAAGAAGCTCCATCAGCAAAAAATCAGTGAGCATGTCATGAAAGAAAGACTTCATAGGTTCAAGAGATATGTGGCAAGATGGTTGTATGTTCGCAGTAAGTTTGTTTCAGGATTTGCAGCAAGTATTTGATTTTTCATTTTTGTTGTCTGACTTCCAAGTTTACAACCATGAATTGCATTAATTTTCAGGAGTACTTTCAATGCAATCAATAATATAGAGTTTGATCAAATGATTGAAGCTGATGGTCGCTTTGGGTCGGGTGCAAAGAAGCCTTATCAGCATGAGTTGAGAGAGAAGCTGCTGCAAGAATAAGTTCAAGATACAAAGGAGATGTTGAAGGCACATGGGAAAGAATGGCACAAGAATGGCTGCTCCATTATGACAGATGTCTGGACAGATCAAAAACGAAGAAGCATTATGAATATGTGTGTCAATTGTAGCATTGGTACTAGCTTTCTTGAGTCAAAAGAAGTTTCAACCGAGTCCCACACTGGAGAACTCATTTTTCAGTATGTGAACAGCTGCATTGACAAAGTTGGGGCTGACAATATAGTTTAAGTAGTCACAGATAATGCTTCAATCAACATGGCAGCAAAAGATTTGATGTCTATAGAGAGGCCTAAAATATTTTGGACTTCATGTGCAACTCACACAATCAATTTGATGCTTGAAGGAATGGGAAAGATGAAGAAGTTCAAGACCACAATTGCTCAAACAAAGTCATTGACAATCTTCATTTATGCACACCATAGGACCTTGGCATTGATGAGGAAGTTTACAAAGAAAAGAGAGATTGTTCGGCCAGGCGTGACTAGATTTGCATCCAACTTTCTCACCTTGCAGAGTTTGTATGAGAAGAAGGAGCAGCTAAGGACGATGTCTCAAAGTGAAGAGTGGGAGAAGATAAGCCATGTCAAGAGTGCAAAAGGAGTGCAAGCCACAGCCACCTTGGTAAGGCCAAATTTTTGGAGTTCTGTTTCACTTTGCTTGAGGGTATTTGAGCCATTGGTGAAAGTACTTCGGATGGTTGATGGGGATGTGAAGCCATCAATGGCATTTCTTTATGGAGAAATCCTTAAGGCCAAGGAAGACATCAAAGTGGCTATTGGAAAAATTCCTGGGGCAGCAGGGTTGTATAGTTCTATCTTGGAAATCATTGATGTGAAGATGGAAAATAGGTTGGACTGTCCTCTTCACAAGGCTGCTTACTTCTTGAACCCCTATTACAGCTACAATGATGACTCCATTGTTGAATCTGAGGAAGTCATGGATGGTTTCTTATTAGCTGTTGAAACATTCTACCATGGTGATTATGATAAGCAAGCCCAAGTACTGAATGAGGAAGTACACAAGTTCAAAGACCGTGCTGGTCATTTTGGAAAACAAGTGGCTGCCGCTGGCTGTAAGGAATTTGACATGAATCCTGCTATGCAAGTTAAAATTTTTGTCATTTCTACAAGTTAGTATTTCAGTTATCTAACTTTCAGTAATTTTTTGTTTCTATTTTTTGCAGCCAAATGGTGGGGAAACTATGGAACACAAGTACCAGCATTACAAAAGATGGCTATCAGAATTCTATCCTTGACTTCAAGTGCATCAGGTTGTGAAAGAAATTGGAGTTGCCATGAAGGGGTAAGCATCCTAAAGAAGAGCTTCATATTCTCAAATTCTGTGTTGTATACACTCCTTTCACAATCTGATTTTTGTAGATTCATACTAAAAAAAGGAACAAGCTCACTTGTGAGAGGCTTGAGCAACTTGTGTTCGTTCAATTCAATGCTCTCCATGGACAGAAGAGAGATAAGGCTCAGAAGAACAAAAAGGTGGATCCCCTTCTAGCTACTGAAGCAACATGTGCTCAAGGATGGATCGTGGAAGGAGGAGAAGAGGATGAAATCATAGAAGTTGATCCTGTTACGGGCCTGACATGGCAGCTAATTTCAGAAACTTGTGGTGCTGATGAGGTCACTAAACTTCGGAGAAGTGCAAGACTGAATCAGCCAAGAGAGATTGAAGAAGACATATACTCTGAATCTGAGGATGATCCTATTGACGTGGAAGAAATTGAGTTTGAATCTGACCAAGAAGATGTGGTCACAGCAGGCTATGAGGCAAAGAAGGGGACTGGGACTAGTGATGATTGAGCTGCTCCAAGTCATATGATCAGAGCCTACAATGGCCTTGTTTTTATTTTTTATTATGTGTGAACTATTTGTGTAATGTTGTCCTATTTGTGCCTTGCGAGAACTATGTTGTGTCTTGTGTGTTGGTTGTTTGTGAACCATTTGTGATTTGCCTAATGTTTGCCACTTCTGCTAATTCTGAACTGATTTGTGAACTTTCATATTACTGCATGTTACTTTAGTTTACAAACAGACAGCCAAATACTTATAGTTGTGTCTAACAATATTTATTTTCTTCTATATGTACACAGTTTATATGGAGTCAAAGGAGTGGACATGTAGTTATGCAAGTTCAGAAACTCAAATTATGCAAGGTATGTGCAGTTCTGTGACTTCTGTCATTTTCATTTGTAAAATATTCATTCTTACATGTAAAATTAACATCTATATACGTACAAAACAGATGAAACCTTGCTGAAGTAACAAAATCGTTTAATCCGTCTAGACGCCACTCTAAACGCTAAACAGAGGGTCACCGCCCGTGTACCGTTTAGTGTCTAGGAAAACATTGCTGTAAAATAAAATATTAAATTTATTTAACAAAATAAATATTTTGTTGATGTACGTTTTATAAAAATAATATTTTATAAATAAAAATCAGTTAATAAAATTAAATTTTGAAGAAAAAACTTTTTTTTCCAAAGGCAATTATATTAATAACTTAAAAACTCAAAAGAGTACAACCGAAGTGTCAAATGACACAATGGAACCAGAAAACTGGACCAACCCCCTTGTCAACACACATAAGGGGTACTAACTCCATCAAGGAGGCAAACAACCACAAACCAAAAGCAGACACAGCTGCACTAGAAACAGACAAAGCTGCACTAAAAGCAGACAAAGATGCACTAACAAACCAACAAAAATGAAAAAAAAAAAAAAAAAAGAAAAACAACACACACCTAAAAACATACACTAATAATAAGACCTCCCCTACACCAATCACACAGAACACACAACCGCCCAAACCAGCGCGCAAGCCAAAGTCCACCGCACAGAAACCCAAGAGAGGAGCAGATCGAAACCCCAGACCCAAAAACTGCGACGAAACTCGAGTCACCTAGACAGATCTGACGAGGAGTAAATTCTCAGTTCAGATCTGGCCTTCATAGAACATCCACATCGGAGAGAAAAGGCCCACACGAAGTATGGCAACGACGAGACACAGTATCGCCGTCGAGGCCAAGAAATACAGCTTAGCCTCCAGGAGCCTCCAACCAGAAAACACGATAAAGTGGCCAAAGGGAGAAACTCCCGACCGAGCACAAGGCCGAAGGAGGAAAAACGGCATGACGGCCCCAACTTGAGCCGAAACGAGAGCCACGCCGCAGCAACTCCGGGAGCCGCTACAAAATCGACCCACGCCCGACTGAAATTGAGGCGGAAAAGCATCCTCCGACCTCGGCCATGCCGGAAACAGGGGGTTGATGCCTGCAAGAAGGCTAAGGCGGGGTGACGGGAAAGGGGATCTGGTTTTTGGGGGAGAGGGAGAAAGGGGGGCGTTTAGAGAGAAAGGGGGAAGAAAAAACTTAAATCGCGTTGAATATTACCGAGCTCGAATAGCACAACATTTCTATAGCAGGATTGGAGAAGCTCTAATAGGTTAATTGAGTTTATTTCAATTCTGATTGTATTCATTCATTGTATCCAACTTTTTGATATTTCAGTTTTGGTAATATACTAATATACTACCGTTGGTACAAGAAAGAAAATTGAACTGCTGAAGAAGCAAAAACAGAAACAAGGTGTCCATGATTTGCTCGTACCGTTTGACTTTCCTCACTCTCCAAGTTAAGGTCCTAAACATGATTAAAATGCGGGACTTTCTCTACCAGTGGTATTTCTATAAGAGCAGCAGCAGCGGGAACACTTGATGCACACAAAAACAAAGAAAAAGAAAAGGACAAAAAGAAAAAAAAATGGCAACATTGGAAGCTAAAATTACAGTGTCTGCTCCTCCCTCGTAAGTTTTCGAAATGGGAAATTATAAAGTGAAAACGTTACAGTTGAACCTTCAAATGCCTGGGAAATTATAAAGTGAAAACGTTCACAGTTGAACCTTCAAATGCCTCCAAACCACCTACTGAACATGTAATAGTTTCACCTGTCCTAAAGGGAATTTATCCAGCGTTGCTCTTTTGTCACGGTTTCATGCTCGCCAACACCAATTACACCAGCCTCTTCGACCACATAGCTTCCCATGGCTACATCTTTGTTGCTCCTAACGTAACCTAATTAACACACTCCCACCAATTGCACCAGCCACTTCGACTAGCTTCCCATGGCTACATCGTCGTTGCACCTAAGGTAACACTAATTAACACACTCACAACACACACAAGTACACATGCTGGTTTTTGAATGGACGAATTTATGTGCTAATTAGTATTCCAAGTAGATATGAATACACATCTTTTTTCAGTTAAATTTTGTACCCAAAAAAAATATATGGTTTTCTATTCAAATCATTCAATCTGCACAGTTCAGCAAAATCATGATTTTTGAATTGTATAAATCTATCACTCACTTAAGCGGCAACCCCATGAAACAGGACCCCTTTTTTTTTTCTTTTCACAAACTATGGTAATGGTATATTAGCAATACAAACAAGGACCAACTTTGACAGTGTGCATGTGATGTGAAGGAAAGCACAAAGAACTAATCATATGAACAAGGCCTCTGAACAGCCCAAACATCACTAACTGACAACCATGAACAGAAAATAAGATTACACTACCAGAATGTTCTGTTATCTAAATACTCAAAAACAAGAGGAAAATATTGAAAATTAAATAAACGAACAAAAAAGAACACATTGTTATAGTTTCAGCGCAAGCACACACTCATACATGCATGACTGGAAATGTGTATTCATATCCATACCTGAAATCTCGTCTATATACATTTATCAAAAATCACTTCTTTTTTTCTAATTTTTAATCATTTTGTTTTCTTTAGTTCTATGGCTATTATCCGTGCTCAATCCCCGAGGAAGTCAATCAAGCCTCTCAGGTCACAAACTGGCTATCCACGGGTCTCCCCCTCGTGCTGCCCAAAACTGTCAACGGAGACATAGAAAACTAGCTCTCTCGGGCCACAGCAGGGGTGGCAAGAGCGCATTCGCCTTGGCCCTGGGAGAAAATTTCGATAAAAAATCACACAAAAACACACCAAACCCCACTTTCAAGGCCCCAATAGGAGTCGACCCTGTGGCAGGTCATCCCCCTCATTACTGCCCGACCCTAAGATCCTACAATACATCCCCCGTGCCTTTGATATATCAGCAATCCCCATCTCTATAATCGGCACTGGCTATGGAAGCCAGCCACTCGGGTTAATTCCACCAGCCGCCCCCAATGGCTGCAATCATACAGAGTTCTCCAATGAGAGCAAACCGCCTGTCTGTTAATTTCTCGCCAACAATTACGGCCATTATGACATGCTCAACGACAAGTTAGTTTCTTGCATCAATTATAAGAAGCATGTTCAAGAGCGGGACCACCGGCTCCAGGGATTGTATGAGGAAAAGTGTCGAGGGAGTTATGGTTGCATTTCTTAAATCTTATTTGGGGAATGGTGAGGCTGATGTTATGGATGCCATTGTGGGTAATCCTAGTATTGCTCCTATACTTCTTGATCCAGTTATTTATGTCAAGGAGTGATGATAGAGGAGCATAAATGGTTCTACAGCACGAGAATGTCGTACTTCAATGGTAATAAAATAGATTTTCGATGATATATTTAGAATGTTGTTACTATATCATAATAAAACGAGTCTGTTATGATATGGTGTATAAATAGAACTCATGAATAACAAGAAGCGCATCACAAATGAGAACAATCTGCACAATACAATTTATGATCACGAGAAAATATATACATGATTCATCATAAACGAAACAGAGAATCACAAAACAAAAACTCTTTACTCTATAGTAGAATTAATTAACAAACACATTCGGAATTTATTTATTTTGGTGATTTATCACGTAAACCATCGACGAAAAAATCTCAATCCATTATCAGGGGACTAATACAAATTATTCTTTAATTAGAAACACCCTCCGATATCCAATTACTTCTATACCGAATACAAAATTGGCTCAATCACTCTCTCCTCTCAGACCTCCACCCAATAGCCCATGATCTATAAATCAAATTCTTGTATTAAAGTAAAAACATATTGATGAACTAACAAAATTCCATCAAAAAAATTTCAAGGCCACAAGAAAAATGTTACCGAATCGAGAGTGCAAAATCAAGCCTTGGCAACCGGGGGACTACTGCTTGAAGCAGCATTAGCCAAAGCCTCCTCCGAATTTTTATCCTTCTCCTCAAGCAATTTCTTGTTCTTCTCGATTGCAGCCGCAACCTCAGCAGGCATATACTTCTCGTCGTGCTTCGCCAAAACCTCAGTGGCTGCAAAATAGCAATTCAAGCTCCTAGCCTTTTCAGTTACACCAAATTTTCTGCTGCTGCTAAGGGCAATTTCCTCTTTTTTCCGAACTCCATCATCCACGGGCCGGATAAACCCCTCCACGACTGCCGAGTGCCCCTCCCGGAACAGATCCGGCAAGCTGCCGTCGTATTTGACTAAAATGTCCGTAATCAAATCGGTAATTACAAATTGAGATTCCGGTGAATCAGGAACCTGAATATAGCTGTCCTCGAGGACAAGGCCGCCTAGACGGAATTTGGACTTGGTCGGGTCGGAATTGTACTTCTGCAGGGCGTCGGTGGGGGTGATGTAGAAGACCAGCTGGTCCTGGAACTGGTTGAGGACGATGACTATGAACCCCGCGATGCAGCTGAACGTTATGGCGTAGGTCCAGAGGCGGCGGGTCTGCATCTGGCGGGCGCGAGCGCCGACGTCGGGCTTGGATCGGGCGGGGCGGGGTGATCGGGTGGAGAGAAAGCGCAGGAATGGGTGCTGGGGGTGGGTGAAGGACGGGGATCGGTGACAACTGAGGACGGTTCGCTCGAAGGGGTGGGATTTTGGTACGGTGATTACCGCGCTCGCGGAGGTGAAGTGGTGGCGGAGGAGGTGGCGGCGGAGGAAGCGCGAGGAGAATCTGGCCGCCATTGGAGACGTGCCGGAAAATTCTAGAGAGGGTTTAAGGGGAATTAACTCTTCGGTGATTGGTTACAAAATATTTTAATTTTAACTGTATTTATTGAATAAGGTTGTTGCCTCCATGCCGATCGTCTCTGTTCAGGAACGGGGCAGCCCGATTGGCCCTTCAGCCGCGGACCCGGTTGGATCTTTAGCCGGCGGGTCATCCTTCGAGTCAAGTGGGCATGGTTTTCTCCGGCGCAAGTGATCGAGTCAAGCCCCTTGTACCTCTTCTTCTTCTCTTTGGCGACTTCGAGAGCTCAGTTGTAGACTTAGGACAACTTTCTAGTCAATTCTTAATAGCCCTTCGATGGAGTTTTAGTTCTAAAGTCTGTTTTTGTAACTCTTTAGGTTCTTCCATAAGTTGTTGTTCTGTCGTAGTTCTGGTTTGCGCGCATCTTCGCCTTTATATGAATACCTACGACTTGTACCATGACTGGTGGCAGAGTTCTGACTCGCGCCTCGACTCTTTCCATGCCTTTTGGTTGTTGGCTTGACAGTGAGTAAGAGAGGTATTAGTTCATAGTTAGTTTAGATGTGCGTTTAGTTGTTTTTTGTTTCTCTTCACTCGTTAGAGTAGTTTTTGCCCCTTGTGGGTGTTTTATTGCTTTTGTGTGGAATTAGATGTTCATCTTACAATTGCAGTGCACATAATGTAGTTGTAATTTAGGACACTTATGTAAGTGTTTTTCCTTGATTTTATCGTATAGTACTATAGTGGGTCAATTTGACTAGTTAGCGAGCGATTTGTATTAACTAGTTTATTCGGATAATAAAAACACAAACTACATTTGGGTCCTACGAAATTAAAGGTGGATTAGTATTACTAGAAAAAAAAAATCTGGTCATTAAGAATACATATCCATATTTAATTCAAAGGGGGTTTCTATTTTGCTTAGAATATACGCCACTAACACGAGCGACTCATATTAACCTGACGAAATTGCCATTCAAATTTTCCAAAGCCGACACGAGAAAACGACAACAAAGCTAGGGGTAGATTTGGAAGTCGAACCACAACGATACGAGAAAATAGAAATGGCCACACGCCCTTCACTTTAATCAAGAAAAATAGGTGTCGTTATTATAGAGATTTGAAAAATCTTTTATATTTAACAGCCAAAGACTCCTTTTCATTCCAACTCGTAATCAGAAAAAAAAAATAAAAAAAAAAATCAAATGAGAAAAAAAAGTCTGATAATTAATTAAATAAATTAGTGGCACATTAAAACATTTCTTGATTCAGTTTGTTTTGCTGATAAATCGAAAGGGTCTTCGTCCGATCCTGTGAATTGTATAAGGTTAGTTTCATGGATCTGATTTCTGTGGATAATATGATGTATGATTTTGTTCATTTTTTTTTTTTTTGTTGGGGTTATTCCTAAATATGGTTGATGAAATTCTTATTTATCTGATTATTTGTATATTTAGATTTTTATTTTTATTTTATTTTATTTTCTCGTCCTTTTTATATGGTGGGCTTCTTTTTATTTTTATTTTATTTTATTTTATTTTTTTCAGTCGAATTGAGAATGATTTGGGGGTTGAAGGGCTGGTTTGTGATTTAATTTGGTTTGGTCCCTTTGTGTTGTATTATATTTATGAATTTGATGTTATTGTTGAAAATTAGTTGTAAAAATTATGTCTTAAGAACATTCGTGTTGTAAAGATTCAATCTTTGCAATTTTAGTGATATTTATGAATTTGATGTTATTGTTGAGAATTTAATTGAAAAAATTATGTCATTCGAATGTACATTTGTGTTGTAAAGATTCAATCTTTGTAATTGTAGTGATATTTATGAATTTGTTGTTGAAAATGAATTGTGAAACTCGTCTTTGGAACGTTCGCGTTGTAAAGATTCAATCTTTGCAATTTCACTTGAACAGACTCTTTGTTTGGTGCAAAGATTCGACCTTTTGTAACAGTTTGGATATGAATTTGCTGTTGTTTGAAGGAATCTGCTTCTGTTGGATTAGCTCATATGGTAACCTTACGAGTTTTCGGATTCTGTTTGTTTAATGATGGAAGGCTATATAGCTTTATTTCATTAGTTTTCGACAACTATTGGTTTTCGTAACACATGCTTGCTAAGAGTGCATTTCTGAAAAACACTTGACATAGAATATATTGGGAGGTGATGAATAAAATTAGAGAACATCGATGTTAAAATCCGAAATTATGTTATACAATACAATTGCTTTCAGCATCTACAGCTCGACAAAATAAAGGAAACAAGAAAAAAGAAAAGGGTTTGGCAAGATGGAACACGACGAGATGGGATGTCAGCCTCCTCCCGAAGGCCCTATTTTGTGCGTCAACAACTGCGGCTTCTTTGGCAGCCCAGCGAACATGAACATGTGCTCAAAATGCTACAAAGACACCATCTTGAAACAACAACAGCCCAAAGTCGTCTCCACGTCCATCGAAGGCATCATCAACGGGGGCTCACTCCTCACTCCCATCCTCCAAAATCCCAAGCCCGAGTCCAGCAAATTGAAGGAAACACCTGGCCTGTCGGCGGGCAATGATGGTAATTTGAAGTCTATCGAGGCTAATAAGACGAGGAGTGAGGGCCCAAATAGGTGCACTTCATGCAGGAAACGGGTCGGGCTCACGGGCTTCAAGTGCAAGTGTGGGGACCTATTCTGTGGGACCCACCGCTACTCTGACAAGCACGACTGCCCGTTTGACTACCAGGCTGCTGGCAAGGATGAGATTGCAAGAGCCAATCCGGTCGTTAAGGCGGAAAAACTCGACAAAATTTAGATTCCAGGAAAATATAAAAGCAAAGAAATGTGTTTGAACTGAGACATGGGCAATTTCGTTTTGGCTGATTACTATATCGACTGCCCTTTTGGGTTGAAGATATATCGTACCAGTGTTCAAAATGCATGGTGGGTGTTGGGATTTGCAGGTAAACTAAATTCGGTGTGATTTGAATGGAATTATCGTTGTTCTGGTTTTGTATGTCTTTTTTGTGTTGATTTACTTCGGGAAAAAAAAATATTAACAATAAGAAAAAAAGAACGTTGTGGCTACATTTGTGTCTGCTTCATTTCTGTGTGGATTTTTGTTGGTATGGTCAGTCAGCTTGTAAATGATGTTTATTTCTCTTTATATTTATAGTTGGTTGGTTTTCTTCAGAGCTTGATTAACGTCCGAGTCCAATTATATATCTGTTGATGGTTAGAGGTGTTCATTTGGCTAACCAGGCCAGGCAGGTCGCCGGGCCTTGAAAAGTACCTGGAACCGTCCCGGATGTATGTACGGGCTGGTTAAGAAAATAAAAAATTAGACCCGCAACCGCCCCGTTTGAAGCATAACTCCGGTTCAAAGACCCGTGCATCTGGTCTGGTTGTGGGCCGACTTGGTGGTCCGGGCTAAATCTTCCATGCAACCGTGTTGTTCACGCCATGGCCCCATGCACCCGTGCCGCCTACTCCCGTCGTGCTCGCCCCACTGTTGCTCGCGCCAACACGTGACTGTTTTGCTCTTTCTGGTGGCCCATCAAGCCAATCTCTCGCGTGCTCGATCATGCGCGTTTGCGGGCGAGAAACCTCCATCTTCATCACCTCGGTGCTGCCGCGCCTAGGGGAGACGCTCGAGAACCCAGCACGACATGCCTCGGGCGGACAAGTGTGACCCGACAATGCCTGCGCGATCCTCCGCAATGCGTGCAACACGAGACTGATGAGTGACCCGTGCAGCTGACTCTGACGAAACGTGGCGAGCCTTGGAGGAGGTGATTTTTTGAAATTTTTCGGCGACGGCTTCGGTGACAACTTCGGGGAGGGCGATGACAACGGTGACGGCGCGAATATTATACAAAGGAAGCTAACTTGGACGAGAAGTTTGCTGACTTGAGAAGTCTTTTTCGATATAGAATATATGTTCCAATTGAAAAAAAGAAGGGTTAATTGCTAAATAAACCTTAATCTTTTTGCGTTTGGCAAATTTTGTCTCAATCTTTGGGTAATTGTAATATTATCTCGACCTCAATTTACTTATTGCAAATTTGGATGCAGAGTGATTGATTTTAGGGATTTGTGGATCGATTTTGTGTCCAAGTCTTCCATTGACACGGGCTTTTATGCCATCCACGTAGCAAGTCGACAATTTCCACGTATTTAATGTATATCCACGCACAAAGTCGAAAATTTCACGTCAATGTAAGCTACCGGTGATGGTCTCCTCCTAGATCTGGAGTGACCCGGTAAATATGAGTTCCGATCTGTTCGAGCCGCCTTCAAATCGACCAATTTTTTGAAGGTCCAACCGGTTTTAAGTTTGACTTGCAATAAGTAAATTGAGGTCGAGATTATACTGCAATTATCTAAAGACTGAGATAAAATTGTCAAACACAAAAAGGTTAAGATTTATTTAGCAATTAACCCAAAAAAGAATATCTGCATGTGATTAATTAACACCGCCAAAATTAAATATGAATTAATAAAAAAATATAGAAAGCTAATTAATTAATTAATTAAATTGCTAAGTTGACATGTAAAGTAATTAATTAAGTAATCAAATTGCTAAGGTGACATGTAAATTAATTTAATTTCATATTAAAACTCCTCATTTGTTTAGAATACTAAGTGGGAGAAAAAAAATTTGAAAATTAAGATAATTTTTAAAATCCTATAACCTTTGTTTCTTGTTTGTCGGTGAAGCATTTCTTTCTTTTTCTTTTTTTTTTTTTT